CCCCCCCCCCCCCCCCCCCCCCCCGCAACACAGTGTAAGTGAAGGGCAATGGCGGGGATCACACCCGATGAATGGATCTGCCCGGGGCACAAAGGGAAGAGGCTTCTGTTTACAGGAAAAATACTCCGGTTGCCTAGTAACCAGTAATGACAGGAAAGGAAACGCAGAAAAAGCTGAGGGCAGTTCTGGGCCCTGCTCCTGGCTGGGCGCTGACTCACCGCGACCTGAAGCAATCTCATTTCTATTCCTGTTCCTCCATATGCCAAGCAGAGGGGTCACCTGCCTTACATAGGTCTCATGGTATTTGGAAAACATCTTGTCATCTTCTCAGTAAGGAGCAAAGAGCAAGCACAGCGGGTTTTAGTTCCCTTCGTTCTGATTGGCCAGTTAACTTCCGCTTTGGGGAGACACATGGCCTTTTCCTTTTCCTTTGGGGAAAGACGCATGGCCTCCTCAAAGCTAGCGGTTCATGCTCTCCTGGCGCGGGGCGGCACCTGGATGGCACCAGGCTCCCTTGGCCCCCGAGAAAGCAATTCCTATTTTCCCCATGAACAAGAAGCGACAAGTCCAGAATGCTCTCAGAGAGTACCAGTTGTCCCAAACCCCGGCGTCTGCCCGGATGCTTGTGCTGACATTCCAAGTGGCATTATGGTGACCAGAAAAATCATGTCCATTTGCTTCTCTTGAATCCCCTTCCCTTTGAGTGCAAGGTCTACAGACCAGGTGATGCGAGCTTTAGATTCTGTCCGCACTGTGCCTGCTGGCCTGCGGCTGGGGCTTGGCCCTCAGGATAGCCCTGCTCAGCGCCCGGCCCTGAAAGGAGACTCGTATGTTTGGAGAACTTAATGTCCATCTCCTCCTTGCTGAAAAGTGTCTTCATTAACACTGCACAATGGTAGAAACCACATCCTTTCCTGCTCTTGGATCGCTGCCAAGGCACCCACCAGTGGGCACCGAGGCAGGGCTCCCAGCCCGGGCACTGCTAACATCAGGCCAGGTTGTTCTCTGTAGGGAGGGGCATCCTGGGCACTGTGGGGTGCTGATCAGCGTCTCTGGCCCCCACCCACCGCACGCCAGGAACCGCCCTCGGCCCGAAGTCTCTGGACACTGGCGAATGTCCCCCAGGGGACAGAATTGCCCTGACTGAGAGCCCCTACTCTAAGTGGGGTGCAATGTCTGAGAAATGAGCTAGACAGACAGGCCTTGAGTGAAAGGGACGTGCAGGCAGGTGAGGAACAGGAAGGATAATAGAGGGCATTGCAGTCTGCACGATGGGGGCTGGAATTAGAGGCTGAAAAGGCCGGGCCCTGGAAAGCCTACCCACCGTTTCTAGGAGCATCAAGTCTCAACTCCCAGCAAGGGCGGCCCATTATTCCCTCTTTGCCAAAGCCATCTGGGTGCCCTGTCATTCCTTAATTATTCACTTTTTTTTTTCTTTTGCAGCAATGGACTTGGAAGGATCGGAGCTGGCTCCGAGCTACTCTGGAATAAAGTATCTACAGAATTCAAATTCCTTTTTCTGTTGGTAAGAACTGGGCTTCCGTTCCTGTTTTCTTCTCAGTGGCCAAGCATTTGCTCGCTCTCCAGCAGAGGAGCAGGCCTGAGCCCTGGAAGTTGGCCGTCTGCAGGGCTCCAGCCAGGACGCGGGGGTGGGGGGTGAGGCCCCCTGAAGCTGCAGGCTCCTGTCCTCCTTGGTGGGACAGGCTACTCTGATCTCAAAGGACAGCGGCCTTTCCCCCCATCATAATGGGGCAACGCCCACTTACTTTCCTCTTAAAGAGACATGATTTGACTATTACTTTAAAAAACTGTCCAAACAAAGGTATGGGTTACCTCGGCTCACATGTGGTCTGATTTTAGTTGCCACTTACAATGTCATGGATTCAGGAGGGAAACGTGAATTAAAAAACCACCCAGCCTCCACCAACATTTTCACCCAGTGAATATGCTTTTGGCAGGCAACCCCATTCCACCGCTTATCTGTAATCGCTTAAATGCCACCAGACTTGCTCTCTAACAAATCCAAACGGCACCTTCTTTCCCTCAAACTTGCCACTTCTTCTGTGTTTCCTAAGCCACTGGACTAGTTCAAGTCACCAGGCATCTCCCTTGGCTGCCGGGCCACGTCTAAGTGGTGATCCAGCCCTGATGTCTCCTCCAGGGACCACCTCCCAGTGACCTAGGGCGACCCCTGCCTCCTCCTCGCATGCTGGAGCACTACATGTTCTAAATCAAGGACTACTGGGAGTCTCACTACTGAGAGGGTGGGTGGTATGTGGAACATTCTGGTGACAAGGGTCTGGGGTCCCTGAGAAGGTTGAGTATGGTGCAACCACATGGTTCCAGGCGTGCCCTTCACACTAACGAGGCAGCTCAGCCTGCTCTGGATGATCCAGACCTTCTGACATGAAGGCTGTCTACTCAAGAGCTTGTCTGAGAGCCCTGCTCTGTGGAGCGCATCCCAGGAACTGCCACCTGGCTCCCTTCCTGTTTCCCGGCCCGCCATTGCATCTCCGCTCCATCACGGAAAACACCCAGCAGGCTTCATCACATAAATACAGCAGACACAAGTTCGGAACAAATACTAAGGTGGCCGTCACACCGAACGGGCACAGACTGGGGACTCGGACACAACTGAGTTCAGATCTTAGTTCCGTCACTTGCTGTGGACGTGGCTGTGGCCTCAGTTTCCTTATCTGACAAAGGGGTGGGGAGGATGACGTGCAGTGATGGGCTGGACCCCGGCCGGTGCCTGATAAATAAAATACGACCTAGTGGGACGGAGTAAGAGGAGCGAGAACCCCAAGGACAGCTGCAGTGGCAGAAGCCAGCAATGCAATTCAGCATTAATTGTACCCCAGACTCTGGGCAAAGCAGGCTACACGTGGGACCTTTCTTAACTCTTCAGGAAGCGAGTCCCTTATCATCCTCATTTTATTTTCATTTTTAAAAATGTTCTTATTTAAGTCATCTCTACCCCCAACATGGGGCTCGAACTCACAACCCCGAGATCAAGAGTCCCACACTCCACCGACTGAGCCTATCACCCTCATTTTAGAAACAACAAGAGACAGACTGAGACTCAGAGAGGTCAAAGTTTATGCCACTCAGTAACTGGAAGGGACTCGTCGATAATGGCCCCGACGACACTCTTCCCTCCATCTTGCCCCCTGCCCAGCTGGGCATGTTCCCTGCCCCTGGAGACCGAGGTCATCTGCTGTCCATCTTGCTGGAAAGCATGGCTCTCCGCCCTCTTCCAACCTCACACGCTCCTCTGTCCACGCGCCCTGTCCCCTCGGGCACGCTCAGTCCTCTGAGCCCTCCCCACTCTGCCTCTGCTTTGTATACACTTCCGCAGGCACTCCATGGAGAAAGCCAGGCTTCCTCTCACTTTGGGGGCAGTGTTTAAATGGGATGGTTACCCAACCCCTCGGGCACCCCCAGTTCGATCCAAGTGGAACGCTATGTGCCGGGCTCCGAGCCCAGGCCTGCGGGACCGAGGGCCTGAGTGTGGGCCACGGTGTTGTGCAGCCTGCGCCAAATCCATGTCTCTGCAGAATGGAGGGTGGCCGGCGTGGCTACAGTGGTCCCGACCAGCAGTGAGAAGGTGGCTGGCGGCCATTCTGGCACGGAGGGCCACTGGAGGCTGGGACTGGTGTCCCTGCGATGGTGAGGACAGGGCCTGCCAGGATGGGGTGGATGTGACGCCGCAGAGCAGGGCTGAGGCTAGCCTGGAGAGTGCTGAGGCCCTCAAAGAACCCCCCCCCCCATGACAGCTAGAGCAGGAGGATGGCTGGGTTAGGGAGCACGGAGCCGCCACCAGCAGCTTCAGACTGGACCTAAGTAGCACTGTGCACAGCGATTAAAACCTGCCATCCCCCTGCCACCCTGTCCCCCGGCATCTCGTGCAGGCTCCCCGGCCTCGGCCCTGTGGTCGCTGGAGCTGGATCATTTTTGGCTGTGGGGTGCTGTCCAGGGCCCTGTGGGGGGCTGAGCAGCATCCTGGCTTCCACCCGCTTGATGCCAGGAGCACCCCCAGTTGTGAAAACCAAATGCCCCTGAGGGGACAAAGTCAGCAGTGGGTGAGATGCGCTGCTTTGCCTCTTCTGGCACTGCTCATAAACTATAACCTGCATGGCAACCCAAGTTCCCAGGAGATTTGTATGCACACTAAAGTTTGAGAAGCCCTGCTCTGAATCGCCATTTCTCGCCCTCCCCACTCCAGACATTTGGGGCCAGACTGTTCTCTGTGGGGTGTCCCGGGGCACTGTGGGGAGGGGGGAGCAGTATCCCTGGCCCCACCTACTCCACGCCTGGAGCACCCGCTCCTCAGTCACAACAACCAAACACGACACCACCCGGTGTTCCCTGAGGGTCAGTCACCCCCTTTGAGAACCACTGGTCTAACGCCACGTCCTCGCTAAACCTGGTATTTCTAGACTAACCAAGCCATTCTCCACGCTCGCTGCTCTGGGTTCTGCTTTCTCTCTCCCAGTTGTGCACGTTTGGCTCCTGGACCAGCCTGTCCTCAAGAAAACCAAGCCTTCAGAGCGCCCCCTACAGCCTGAGGGAGAAGGAGCAAGGTGGGGCCCTGGGGCCAGCCAGGAGCTCCCTCCTCCAGGGCATCTGCCGGATTTTGAGCCTGCTGACCCCACCCTGCACTGGACGGTCCTGCCTCGTGACAAGGGCACTTCCGGTTCCCGGGAATGGCCAATAAGCACAAGCAATGGGCAGGACCTGCACGGCTGACTCAGGCAAAGAGGCTGGCTTTTCTCCCGCTGCCAACATCACGCCCAGGGCCTTTCCAACTGACCCCCCGTTCCTCTCTGGTCACCCCTTACTCCGGAGTTTCAAAAGCAGAGAAAGGGCCGAGCTGAAATCACGAGCTTCACCTAACATAGCAGCACTGGAGGGGCCCTTGCGGATCAGCCAGGCCCGCTGGGACCCAAAGATGTTAAACGCTTTGCCCAAGCTGCAAGGCCTGATGGGGGGGGGGGTAGGACGGTATCTCTGTGGGGACATTTTTTAAATGATCCCCTTAAAGAAAATGTTTAAATGAGGCTACAATTCCTGAAAAATGACTTGCCTAAACTGGAACTGGATATAAACTCATTTCCTGGAATGCAGAGTAGCATTTCTTTGGAGGGACTGATCTTTCTCGGCACAAAACTGATCTCCAGCTATCCTGCTGCTACAGGTTACAGGAAGAATCCTGTATTCTCCTTAATCTTCTGGGGAATCCTTGTGTAAGTCAGAACTTACTCATTTTGATTCCACGAACACGTGATGTAACTGAATCTTAGTTATTACACCTCATAGGGCTGGTGGCTAACAAGCTTGCCATATATATATATATATATATATATATACATATATATATATATACACACACACATATATATGACTTGCTTTTATTTGCTCTAGAACACAAATGACATCCCATTATACGTTCTGGCTGCAAAAGAAAGTTGGGAAGCTTGTTCAGATACTTAACACCGTCCTGAGCCATTAGTTGGAATGCAGGCACGAAAGTGCCACGGACATTTTCTTGGGGCATTCGGCTACAGAGTGAACTGCCCTGAAAAAAAAAAAAAAAAAACCCAATCGGTACAACTAAAGCGAATCTCACCACGGAGCTGTGTGACCGCGAGCGCTGTGTTCTGATATAGGCGGTACTGGTACGGATGCTGCTGCCTTAGTCAGATTGCATTCGAGAGAGACGAACAAGGCAGGATCAAGTCCCTGCCAAAAACCTGCACTGAGTAACACTGCCCAGTTTATAGCACTGGTGGGTGGGCGGGGCGCAGAGGGCGGTGCAGAGAGCGTGGGGGGGGGAGGGGGCGGGGGATGTGTCACTGGCTTTGAATGAAGTTCAGGGGCAGTGTTTACCCAAGCAACCAGCCCTGGTAAACAATCGCTATCTCTGGCCCGCTAAGGAGGAGGTGGGGAGTGACACTGTTTTACCAGAATCCTCCCAGTGGCTGCAAAGTGCCCGTCGTCAGGGTGAGGGTGTCCCACTCCTGGTAGTGGGGACACACCTGCTTCCCCAAGAAGCGTAATATGCACGTTTCCCCTGAGGGTCACCTGTGTTCCCAACTTCTTAACAAGAATAGCAAGGAACATAAAAAACCAGAAGACTCTAGGTCCAGTCTCCGTTGCCAGCCAAGCTCATGCGTGGATACTGTTTTCACGTGTGGCCCACTGGGTTCAAGTCCTGGCTTTTCTGATATTCTCCAGTGGCCGCAAGGAAAACGTCATGCAGGGCAGGTTGGCCAGGTAATGATTTTACAAACAAGAGGAATTCGATCAAAAAAGAAATCCCACTTAAGACTGGAATAAGTCTCCAGCGGAGAGCAGTCTACGACATAGTCAAACGGCTGAAAGTTGTTTTTTTTTTCCCCCCTTCCATCAGCTCCTCTTGCTTTATACAGGATGAGATGTCAAAATGACAGCACGCTTTCTGCCAAGGAGATCCCAGGTGGACCCAGGTCTACCTGTCGTGGCAAAGCAAACTCAAACATAATTTCATCAGAGAAAAATATATGCAGATGTTCAATTAAAACCTGGAGCCCGCAGTCCTGGCGCTCTTTGCAGGCCCTCATTGTTTGCTGA